TTACAAGTAAATCAATTTGTGTCACATTTTTGGCCACATTTGTGGCGAAATCGCGAACCGACGTCAAAGAAGACAAATCCAGTTTCAATACACTTATGTCTGCCTTTGGGTTCTTAGAGCGGATCCAATCGATGGCAGCGTTGGCTTTGTCCACATCACGACATCCCGTGATTATCTGTCATATCATATATGAATATACCATAAGTTTTATATGTAATTAAGTTAACTGTTACTCAATTATAGGGGGGTTTGCATACCTTTCCACCCCTTAACGAGAGCTGAAGTGCAGTCTCTTTGCCGATCCCAGTGTTGGCGCCGGTAATGACCACAACCTTACCGTCAAGACGTCGGGTGCCTTCAAATATATTTCTCAGACCTAGCACATTTTGCAATATCTCTATCACATAATCCCATAGAAACCTCAATTTTCCCATAATATTAATTTAATCACTTGTCAACTAACATCAAAATTAATTTTAATTAAAATATTCACTTATATTACAGGAAAGAGATTTATTGGATCGCAGAATAAAACTCTTGGTAAATATTTACACTGTTTTTATTTATCCGGTTTATATAGCGTTTGCGGCAAACATTTGTACTAAATTTTTCAAACTCTTTGGCATTAGTTTCTATGGGGAGATATTTTAATGAGATAATTATTTTATACAATAAGGTCATATATTTTATGCACTACTCTAGCGCAAATAGTCCTAAATGTTTGACAGTTTAAACATGTATTTATAGAAAAGATTTATAACAGCGTTTGTACCCTTTATATAAAGTAATATAAAGACTAACAGGCCCAAATAAACTGAGTTTAGTAAAAACATAATAATACTTGCATGGTTTGTATGGCAGCACTGGTTGGTACATTTTAGTGCATTCAAACTGCAATAATGTTTAGTACAAATGTCCTAAAATTAATAGAATTTTTAAATACATAGTTTATTTGTTTAAATGCCAGCATGTGAAAATATTTGTTTCCTATTTTTATGTAATTAATAAATATATTTAATAAAAATGTTACAATCTTTGTTTTTCATATTTATAAATATATTATTATTTATTACTCAATTAATTAAATAATTCGATGTTTTATCAAAATGTCATAAAATGTGTACTTTTTTGACTTTAAAAAAACTTTTTAAAACTATTTACTATTTTTGTGACTAAAATGCTATTTATTGTATACTTTATGATATAATTGTGTTTTCATTTACTATAAATGTTTACTGTTTTCATTGTTAATAAAAATTATATTAATTGTAGTTTTTATAATTACTAAATAAATTAAATAATTAAAACTATTTTTTCTAAATATCGTATAAGTCTAATTAAATTTTAAAAATCAATACACATTTAATGAAGTTTTATTTCAATTGTTTATTTACATTTTTATGCATTAATTCAAGCAATTATTTATTAGAGTTATTGATAAATATTGACTACAGTATTTGTAATTATTATAATTTAAAAGTATTTAAAAAACAATTACAAATGAAATCAAATAATAATTTATTATAAGTAATGGTTTTTATTCTTATTTTTCAAATCGAGAGAAAGAAAGAAAGAGAGAGAGAGAGAGAGAGAGAGAAAGAGTTAATGTAAAAGACAAACCTATTTCCATTGCAAAGTGTAATTCCGGGTAAAAGCAATTTCTCCATAGTCTGAACATTAACGAAGACAATGGCCGGAAAATCAAAGAACAGGGTAATTATGGACGCGATCTGAAACATACACCCAATAGTACACAAACACACCACTAATGCCTTTACTAAATAGTGAAGCATTTGATAACTAGTGAGAGATGTGTTGTCCGTCTCTTTCACCGATCGGTTATAATCTCTGGAGTTTACAAAACGCATCATTTCCAGAGGTGTTCGCAAATTACGGTTCATTGTTTTGAATGGATTTAATTGTTTACTTTAATTAAATATATTTATACTAATTTTATTGGCATTATTATATTTACTATTTTACAAAGATTTATGTTGTTTTATATTAGTTTTATTGAGCAAAGTAACTGATAAAATAGTTACATAGGCCTAGTTTTTGAACAATATAATTTAATCAATATATCTTACATATGATTATGATCAAAATCAATAAATATACTGTATATTGTTTTTATGTAATTTTATTCATAGTAATTGTTTGGCTTTTATGTATTTTTCGGTTACTTTTAATTTTAGTAACTAAAAAATGTTATATTACTTTATTTTAATTGAAATTTCATATAAATTTAACAAATTATAAGAATGATTTTTTTCACAATTAAAATTATATATTTGTCTTAATAAAATTAATTCATAATATTTTACATATATTGTGACCGAAAATTATTTGACATTTATTTGTTTATAATATCATTCATTTGATTTATGTCTTAATTCATCTCAATAGACATGAAAACTATTATCACTGAAATGTTTGTTTAATAAATACCATATTGTATTTTAATGATTTATTTTCCATTCTCTCTCTCTCTCTCTCTCTCTCTCTCT